GCCAGGGTCCCCGGCGCATCCGACGGGCTCCTCGCCCTGGGGGACAGGCCGGGAGGGGAAGGAGCCCCAGTGATCCTGGAGAATCCGGCCGGGGTGGGGGAAGGAGCCACCGACGGAAGGGGCGAGGGGCTGGGAGGGAAAGAGCGCCTGGAGCTCGAGGACAGCGCTGGCGGAGCTGTCGCGGGGCCTTGTCCGCGTGGCTGTGGAGAACACCTGTGCGTTTCCCTTTTAGCGTCACCTCAGGGCCGTCGACCCGCACTTGGACGCAGACCCTGTCGCTGCGTCCTGCCGCTCTGTGCCTCCGTGGCTTGCGTCTGGTTCCCGGGACACAGGAGGCTTCCTGCGAGGGACCGTCAGCTCCCGGGGCCAGCGCGGCCGCCCTGGAGAGGCGGAGGACTCCTGGGTCCGGGGCCCTAGAGGAGATGAGCTTGATCTTGATGGGGGGAGAGGGGGTGCAGGGCATCCCCGAGGGCAAAGGTTACGCGGTAGGACTCCAGGCAGGCCACGTGGGGACCGAGGGATGATGTAAAAGGGAAAAAGTGGACAGGAGGGAGCAGGGTGCAGAGCAGGGGATGACCTGCAGGAGGCGTCTTAGCAGAGTGGTCTGGCAGCGGAAGGGGACAGTCTGGCTTGAGCTCCTCCTGAAGCTGCACAGTATGCAGGAGGCACCTGGACCCTTGTGACAGTGCAGATCCTGCTTCTGCAGGGTTGGGTCAGGGTCTGAGATTCTGCAGTTCTGACTAGCTCCCCGGGGACGCTGATGCTCCTGGTCTGGCCCTCCCTTTGGGTAGGCTCTAGAACATGTGGCTGTTTACAGTGAAGGTAATTCAAATGAGATAAAATCGAACGTTTGCATTAGCCACACTTCAAGTAGTCAGCAGCCCCGTGTGGCTAGTGACTTCTGTGTTCAGCCGCACAGCGCTGCCTGGAGTTTAAACTCCTGAGGGGCAGGAGCTTTATCCACAGTGTCCTCAGGGCCTGGGGCTCAGTGAAGGATGAGCCATAGCAGAGGTAAAGGAATGAAACACTCAGCTAAATGTAAGCCCAGAAAGTGCGTGGTGCTCTAAAACCTGTGTGTGTTTTGGGGGAACAGACCGCTGGGTGTCCTGAGTTCCACAGTGCATGACTGATGTGGGGAACATGTGAGCAGGGACAGGAACAAAGGGTCTGTAAAACTTCCTCTGGTTGGGTTGAACAGA